TCTAAATTCTTGAACTAATTTTTAGTTGCTTTAATATAGAATAGAATCATATGCACATCTTTCCTTCAAGAGACCAGTCTTCATTTATAAAATGTTTTGGTTGGCATATGTAGCACAAGGGGTTAAGAAATGAAGTGGTAGAAGAATCAACCATATTGCTGGAAAGATATAAGAGACAGGAGAAAGGAATTGCATTGAATTCTACATTTTCGAAGCTGAAAGTGATTGAAGCATAACAATACTCAGGAAGAAACTTTTTCCTTTTTTTCATTTTGTTAAGTATGGAGAAATTTGAAAGGGGCATTCATTCCCTTTGTCTGCTGAAGGGGTACAACGCTGATTGATGTCCAGGCCAAATCACTAGCTCTGTACCTTTATATCTATAAAATCTTAAATCATTTCTAACTCTGAGACTGAAATCTATAGATGCATAGAGCACTTTGGATCCCTAAACTCCCCCCCCCCCCCAAAAAAAAAGCTTTACAAAGCAGAAGTTTAAATTTCCCTTTCTGGTATATATTGTTCCTTGAAGACTAGAGATCCTTTTTGAGCCAAATAACTCACAAGATTGCATGGGGTCCAAAATGCAGTAGCCCATATACTATCATATTCCTATAACATGAGTTATATCATGCATTGGGTAGAATTCTGGGTGTAAAGTCAGAGTTGACTTTAAACTACATAGCCATATAAAGCTTGGCATTGAGATATTTACGGTACCCAAATGTACCATCAACAAGGAAGCAACCAACCCATCCAATCACACACACTATAAGAAACTCCTGATGATCCCTCACATTTTAAAGGAAGGGGTAAAAGCTGTAACCATTATTTCTCCACTGAAGTCAACATAGCCTCCGGATTACAATTAGATTGACCCCCTGAGTACTGGCTCTCCTGAAGCAGTTAAAGACTGAGCTCTTCTGGAGAGTGTTTGGGGAATAAGAATGGTTACAATTCTACTTAATCACTTCTCAAAACAAATTGTTCTTGTACCAAAGTGGAAAAATTCTGAGCAGTTACATTTGACTAAATTTAAATATATTTTTTTCCTAAGATAATGTGTTTCAAGAACTATAGTTTTTTACTGTTTGAGCAATTGTGGCTGTTTGCCTTTCACATATTAGGAATGCCAATACGGGAAGATTACTCTGGACAACTTTGTGTTAAAGTTAAGACACAGCTGGTAGGCAACACCCTAATCAAAATAGTTAATCAAACTAGTTATGTGGATGAGAGACCACCAAGAAGCCCAATCCAGAAGGCAGCACTGCCACACACTTCCACATTCTTGCCAGAAGCTATGTAGATGTGTTCATGCAGTCCTTAGGAATCAAACTCTACTTGAAATTTTTTCTTTTTATTAAATCTAAGCAATAGCAATTAAGACTATTAAAGTTACAGTATAGTTGCAAAGGCAATTTCTGTCACATATTGTTTTCTAAGGGGAATTATTTATGAAACTGTATGTTACTGTTTTTTTAGAACTAGAAACTGAAGTCCTAAATAAGCATTAATTGGTATAATGTAATGGCTGAAGTGGTGGAGTTAAGACAACTTCGGTCAAATCTCCATGCAACTTACAGGTTCATTTGGTGACTTTCATCCAGCCACTCTCTCACACCCTAAACTACTTCATAAAGCAATTTGTTTTGAGGATTATAATTATACAGATTAAAAATGGGATACAAAAGCAAGAAATAAACAGGATTTAGGTAAATTATAAAAATCAGTTTCCCCTGAATTCAGAATAACCAAAGGTCCAAAATGAAGCACACTCACAATACTTACACAATATAACCTCAATTTTGTATCCAATTGTATTATTTTTACTTAAAAAACAAAAAGAATAAGTCTGTTGAGTTGAAATGATCTAGTATTTTATCATTCTTGGTTGAAATAATTGAGAATTCTTTTTTTGAAATGAACTCAAAAGGATTAAGTGATAATAAGCTTTTTCACTTTAGGTGCCCTTGAGGAGATACATTGACAGAAAATTATCAGTTTCTTTCTAGAACAATTTAGGTAGTAGAGCAAAACATTATCATAACTACCTCCATAGCAAACTAAGCTTCCCACAGATGTGCAGAGGCAAATAGGCCAACTGCAACATCCCAGAAGACGGGAAGAATGACAAAATGGGATCTCCAAGTATTATATGGCAGAAACTAGCTCAGTAAAGCATTTAACCCAGGCTCAAGCTAAAAGGATTTCTAGGAATAAAGCAAGAAATCTATGATTTATTGTTTAGACTTCTCTCAAACATTTGATTTTTTTCTTCCCCCACACTCTTCCCAGGGCAATTCAAAAAACTTGGCTCAGGAAATAGTGGCTACCTCAGGAAATAAATTTCTACCTTTGCCCGGGTTGGAATAACGTATCTTACAAAGTAAACAGAAGTTGCATCCATAATATAAACCAATATACATCAGAATAGTATGAATTAGATGAGGGAGGGAAATTTATTAAACCACCCTATGAATCCAGACTACACTTTCTCAAAAGTATTTTAAAAAACGCAGAAAGTCACATTAATTATTAATGCAATAGTTTGAAAAATTTTTTAAATATGTTGTTACTAGGCAATAATTCAGGTAACAAAGTTTTTCTTATTCCGTAACCTAGCTTAAGCTATAGTTATAGCTTAGTTATAGAGCAAGGGTGTCAAACTGTCGGACTCTGGGCCGGATGTGTCATGGTGAAACCACCCCCATCCCATTGCCGGCAATGGAAAAAAAGTCGCGACATGTCACATGACCTTGCAGGTTTGACACCCGTTATAGAGCCTACAAGAGGCAAGAAGTAAGTAATCATCAGTAACACTATGGAACATATCATAGTTAAATAAATCAAGTGACAACTCGTTACATAGTTTTGCCAACCATTCTATACAGATTGTTAGGCTGAGCTTTAAAAAAAAGTAATTGACAAAAGTAATTAAATTAAAATTCTTGATTCAGCCATGCCTATTGTGGAACTTACAATGTGTTAGGAAAATGAAATAAAAGTATTTAAAATATGTTCTATGGCACATTTGGTCTTTTAAGCAGGCCTATAATTCAGTCAGATGCAGCAATATCAACTGCAATTGATCTTGATCTACAATTTAGTTAATTCAATTTTGCAGCAAACTAAACTAATATGGAATCTACAGAGGAAGTACCTAGTGCACTTTTGATAACCATGAAATAAATGAAATAAAAACTCTTTAGCATAGGTGCATCTCAGATAATTGCTGATGGAGAATTGCCTCATCTCTTATAAAAGATGGCTGATAGATTCCTATATTACACAGTACAAAAAGAAATGAAAGTATCCACCTGTTTTACTCAAAGCAAATAATAACTTAAACAGTTAAGTTTGTGATTTGGATTAAATCTGAACATACATTTAGTTTTATTCTTATATATGTCTAATCTATTTATAGAGCCCATGTTCTATAGCAGTGGTTCTCAACCTGTGGGTCGGGACCCCATTTGGGGTCAAATGACCATTTCACGGGGGTCACCAAACCATGCTGTCCGCCATTTTTTCCCTTTTCCCTAACTGTCCTACTCCCTCTTATTGGTGGCCACACCCACTTGGGGGTCACCACAACATGGGGAACTGTATTATGGGGTCACGGCATTAGAAAGGTTGAGAATCACTGTTCTATAGCTTAGTATTACTATTATCCTTATCTTCACTAATGCCTCATATTGGTATTATTATTACTCTGCTGCTTTGCACATATACTGAGAGCTTCTGCACCACAGACAAATGTCTTGTGTATCTAATCACACTTGGCCAAATATTCTATTCTGTATTATAATGGAAAGAAAATAATTACTGGTTTATTGTAAAGCAATTTATCTTCACTGATTATAGGCCTAAATTTAACACTGATTGCCTTCTGACTATAGCTATAGTTTAAACAAAAACTACCAACAAAAAATGAAAAACCCAAATTGTGTATATAAAACTCTAAATCACTGGAAGGGAAATGTAAGATATATCAGAAAAGACAAGAGTGTTGCAATAGTGTTTAATACATTTGTCCCAGCAGAGAAATAAGGGAAAATCAGATATTAACTTATTGCTGTAATACAGTCCAAAAATATACATTTGCTACAAGAATACTACATATATTCTGATGGCAATAATTGGTTGAAATTGCATGCCCACAACTCAAAATACATCAAAAAGTCCATTTTTTCTGGAACTTATGATATATAAATGGCTTCAGCAGTAAAAAAGAAAAAAGAAAGAAAAAGGGGGGCTTTTTATCCAGATTCTAAACAAATGAGTTTTTATCTCTTTACTAGAAGGTGTTATTAGATGTTAGTACTTGGATTACTGATTTATAGTAAAATCAACTGCAATCCAAAAATATTTCAGATTTCTCTGTTGTTGTCTCTCACTCATATACTGTTGCAACCTTCAGCTATCTGATTTTTTAGAAATTCCAGTACTCCCAGCCAGCATGGGTTTCTGCAAATTCTAGTTAGAAGCTGTGAGGTTGGGAAAGGTTGTGTAACTAGTATAATCTATCTATCACTCTTTATAGTTCCCATTCATTTAACTAGGAAAAAATGCGCAAAACTCCCAGGGAATTCTAACCTTAACTAACAGGATAGTCAATAAAAGCAGCTGCTTAAAATAAGAGACAGTAAAACAGTGTCTCTACTTTTCCCGTTCAAAGCAAGTACCGTAAATGCCGGCGTATAAGACAACTTCCGTAAGCGCTGAAATCGGCACCAAAGATGGGGTCGTCTTATACGCCGAGTTGTCTTATACGCCGGAAATACTGGTAGTTTCCGGCGTATAAGACGATGTTCTAGGAATGCGGCCCGGCTATAAAGACGGGGATCGTCTTATACGCCAGGTCGCCTAATACGCCGGCATATATGGTAACTCTGGAGTAAGCTGTTGCTTTTTAAAACTTCAGCAGAAACTAGTAACACATGTAATGGAGCTTTATAAGATGAATTTTCAAATTTTAACCTGTTTGCAAAAACATCTTTTCTCACAACATATACACAAGTTTATTCTTTATCCTTGAAGAACCTTTGTCATTCTACTTCTCTCTCAACATGAGTCAAAGGCCAAATATGAAGGGTACATTTTTTTCACCCGAGTTACCATGGAGCACACTATCACAATCTATTGATAACCTTTTATACAGCAATTTAGATGGCTTTAAAAAAGATCAGACAAAAAGATTACATACAAGATTAACAGTTGCTAACCATGTTACTTATATAGCATAGCTCTAAATGATAAGACAATAGAGAATTATAGCAAAGGGCAATTGCTCTATCCTGTTTATCGACTAATACAATCATTTAATTGATTCCTATAGATGGCCTTAATTTTACAGTGCTCTATTCTTACATTCTTAAGATAAAACCACCATGCATTACAAATTGTACCTTCTCTATGGGAACAGTACTAATCTGCTTGCCACATGGCCACTTAATTTTCTTTCACATTGCAAACAAGCCAAATTTAGTCTCATATTTTCTATTTTCCCATATTAACTACAAATTTCTCAAAAACTGAGGAACTTGTATTCAATTCAGAGACTCTAAATGCACACTCATTTAACTTAAGTGCCTTGAAATAATTATCACATCTTGTGAGTTGGGAATAATTAGTCTGGAAAAGGCTCCTGGAATTGCAATGGCTATGTCAAATAAAAAATGACAACTCAATGTGCACTACTTTGAAAAAGAAAATTCCATCCTGGACATATTACAAAATGAACAGAAAATTAAATTGCCAATATGTTAATATTACCACTTTGTCTAGCATTTCTGATCATTGTACCAAACCTTTTCTTAATAGAATATGAAATCATGAACTGAAGTTGAATCAGAAAAGATCAACATAAAAGGCAGATAAAAGTATGAAATTCACAATTATAAATTGGTAATTTGGTTGGAGTTTAGACAAATTCTAAAAGGCCACCAATGGCACTAATTGTAGTGACTAGATATCTTAAGTAAAAACAAAACAAAAGAACAACCTTCCTTTTAATGTTAAGTGGTTTTAAGAATACAAGGAGGAGAGACCTTTGATTTGACTCAGGATGGGTCTTCCCAACCTACTTTCTTCTCCTTCATTTTATACATTTTAAATCTATCATAAGTTACTTCTATAAGACATTCTCCTCCGTACAAAATTTTAAGATTACCAAACTTATTCAAATATTATATTAAAATAAGCATGTAAGAACTCTCAATCAAAACTGGGTAAAGGATATCTCCATTGTACCAACATATACTATGGATCTGCTTACGTTCTTCATTATTTTAATACATGATGTGCTAAAGATTGAAGGATACAACCACCTACAGAGTGTAAAACAGTCACTGGCTTAGTCACAATGGCTAAGATTCTTTTTAGAGCTCAGATGGTTTGGATAGAATCCATAATAAATTTCACAATTTGTTGTAAGAAGATCCCTTTTAATTGCTAGCACTGAAGGGGCAAAATAAAAATTTTAAAAAATTACCAACTTCTGACAAGCTGCCTTCCATTTCCTAGGAAGGAAATTAGTGTAAGTATTTTTAGAGGAGTGAAAGCTTCCAACAATTTACCACTGAAAACTGAAATTTCAAGGAAAGATTATATATTTAAAACCAAAGTTTCAATTAATTACTGACTGCATAGATGAGGATCAGATTTAGGAAAAATTCATTTCCATTTCAATTTAAATTAAACTTTAACTTGTAATGACTGTTGACTCTTAATATATTCTTTAGTCCAAAGAATCAAAATATTTCTAAATGGAGACAAATAATGCTTAATAGGTAAAACACCTGTATCCCCATGACAAACCATTCATCAGTACTTGTTAAGCCTTTCCACTGGTTTAGTAAAACAATTCTAAATACAAGGGCAATTAGGAAATAAACCTCTGGTTATCAGTGATAGGCCCTCACAGATACAGAACTTTTATTATATGCTCTAGAAGACTACATTACTTTTTGACATAATTGCCATTCAAATTGAGGCACTTATCGTAATGTCTTACAAGGTTTGAAATTCCTTAGTAGTAGTCGCTCAGCACCAAATCTGGGCTATGGGGGGGGGAGGGTGATCAAAAACATCCCAAGGGAACTGCTTCGAAAGTTCTTAGGTACATCTAGCGATATGCGGGCATTATCATGAACCATTATCATGAACACACCGGAAATCAGAATGCCCCGACACTTGTTATGGATGGTTCATCTGAGTTTTTGTAACATTTCACAGTAGACTTCTGAATTGGTCGAACCACACTAGCAATACTCCTCTGACATCTTCACATTTGGTGGGATTTTCTATGGCATCACTTCTGGTATGGTGTTGGTTCACAATAATGCTTGCCCACACACCGCTAGACGCACCCAAGAACTTTTGAAGCAGTTCTATTGGAATGTTTTGGATCACTCTCCCATAGCCCAGATTTGGCATCGAGCAACTACTACGAAGGAATTTCAAAGCTTGTAAGACGTTATGACAAGTGCCTCAATTTGAATGGCGATTATGTCAAAAAGTAATGTAACGTTGTAGTTTTCTAATGCATATAATAAAAGTTCTGTATCTGTCATTGATAACCAAACAGAAGTTTATTTCCAAACTGCCCTCTTATGACCCAGATGTCAGATTGCCAGCTCTTCTGTTAAATTATACAAGAGATTCTGTGTGCATGAATGATTAAGGTTCATGAACAGTATACTCGAGGTACACATCCTAATTTTAAAAATGTGCTTCATGTATTCAATATATACCTTTAGCAGGAATTAGCCCATTTGCACAGGGAAGGTAGGGAAGACAGGAAAGTTAAAGATATTAAAGGAGGAGAGCGATAGCAAAAGAAACAATTTGCTACGTCACCCACAAATCAGTGTATAGCTTCCATGAGATTACTCCTGAAATAATGTAGCCCTTGCCAATAAAAAATTTTTATTTTACATCATACAACTTCCAGTCACCCGCATGACAATATTCTCATTAATCATTATCATGAGAATGAGCTTCCCCAGCAATAAAAAAACAAGTGTTTTACAACACTTTACTAGGTAAAATTCAAATTTCCCCAAAACAGAATATTTAAAGGAAAAAAAATAATATTGAAAATTAACAAATGTAGATTTTTAGGAAGCCTCCGGACTATTTTCTACAAAATGCAAAATAAAATATAAAACACAATGCACATTCTTGCAATGTAATATACATGACTTTTAGTGTTCTGTATTCAAATAAATGTTGACTGCCTCAAAAAGTGCATACCCTGGATAAAATATCTGTTAAGCACCAATCCTACACACATTCATCTGAATCTTCCTGGACTTTGATCTGCATACAGGACTATATTATGAAGGCAACATTGAACTCTGATGAAAGCAATTTTGCTACTGATTAAAGCAGAGCCTGCTCTAATGCATTTTGTTATCAATATCTGTAACAGATGCTTATCAACATGTACATACTGAGGTCATATTATTTAAGCTAAAGGCAATCTTAGGTATAATAAAGCTAGCTCTTTGTGGATTTTTATCATCCACAAAACCATATAGTAATATTAAAAACTGGTGGTAAATTGGAGCTATATAGATTTAGCAAATGAGATTGTGTTATTCATTTTGTAAAGTCACTCAAGAATGTGTCCTCAGAAAACATGTTAAAATACTTCCAGTGGAATCAAAAGTTATTTGAATATGTATAGTTCGGATTAAACCATCTCTGTATTTTCAATTTTCCTCCAAATTGAACAGTCTTAATAGGAAATGAAAGGGAAAATGATGATAAAGCAATGGAATTGGTCATTTGTAGAAGAGGAAAGCTAACTTATGATGAATCCACGCTGGAAGCTTCTGGAAAATTAGAAAATGGTCACTAAAATTATGGGTGCTGAAAAAATACTTTGGCACTATGAAACAGAAGAAATAGGATTAAGTGGGGAGCCCATTTGGGTAAGTACTTTATCCAGCCACTGAAGAGGCCCATGAAGATGGATTTCTATCCAACACGGGGTGCTTGTAACATCTTGTCGGTGGTATTCTGCTCCCCATCCCTATAAAGAATGATACATATTTAACTAGATTAGAATTAGACACTGAAACAAACAATTAATACAACACTTTCTATTTTAAAAAAAGGATTTGGCTTGAAGAATGTTAGCCTATGCTTATTTCATTCCATTCAACAAAAACATGTTATAGGAGCGTGTGCAAAGCAAAGCTGTAGCACGTGTAACATGCTAATATGCTGTGTTATAACAAATGTGGTTGGTGTAAGGTGGTCCCCAGGTGCATATAAACCCGCCTTCTGATAACACAAAAGGGATGCTTCGGCTTTGTTCGAGGCTCCCATCCCGAGGAAACCACGTGTTCGTGTCTGTTCTTCTACACTCATGGGAGACCCGCTGGGCGCGTGAAAACCAACAACTTAAACCATCAATCCCTAATCTAATATCTTCTAGTTTTGTTGGACTAGAATTTATAAACTTTTTACCTATGATAGGCACATGATAGAGTTGCAAAACTATAACTTGGCAGAAACCCCAGTCAACACTGACCACTCAAATAGTACTGGAATTGTGATTAATCATCTCCTAAATAGGTACAGATTACCACCCCATTTTTCTTGTGTGGGAGAGGAAATACTACTATTTATTAGGTCAATAGAAAGAAGAAGGTAATCTTCATCCTTATTTCATCTTGCAAATGAATAAAGTAGAAAGGCATCTATCCAACTATCTATACATCCTTATAAGTTATTCACAAAAACAAAGAATAATAAATTTGAAATGCTAAATTAACTCTGAAGATTTGCTAATTAAATACAGTAAAGTATCCAAAATCTGTTATATGTTAAAATTGGAGTCAAACTTAATACATTCCAGACATATTCCAAACACATACAATACAGTAAATAACAAGTATGCCACAACTTACCTTTACAAAACTCATTCGAATTGTGCACATTTTGGTGAGCTCATATACTGCCTCAAATCCATGATTGACCGATTGAGCTAGAAGCTGAGCAAATTCCTGATTGTTAAAAATTTTAAGACTACAGCCACTGGGAATCTTGCATACAGTTGTAGGGTGAAATCCGTGATGATAATTACAATTCCTACTTTGTACAAATATGCTGCTGTCGCTCAGGCATTCTGCATAGACTTCCCCACCAACATAGTACAGATGAACGCCTAGGGGAAGGAGAAAAATCCCAAATATTTAACACAGTTAACTTGCAAAAATGATTACAGCCTCTTCCTCTCAGCTGTTAGGAACTCTAGCCAAATTTCTATTTGAAAGGATTCCAACTGTTTCCAGTTGTTTAAATATGTCAAGCGTATCATTTCAAACACCAAATATCTTAACCACTAGATGTCCTCATCTTCCTTCACTCAATACATGATAGAACTATTCAATAAATAAATGATATATTACTTTTTTCTTGCCTCATCAATTGGGCAAGCTGGTATGGAGATGGGCTTTAGGATTTTAAGTCATCACCAACACTGAATTGTATCTGGAAAGAACTTGCATGCCTTGTAGAACAAGTCTTTATAGAGTACTGCCAGTTAGCATCTATTATTGCTCACTGCTATCCAACATTTCAAAAGCTTTTTAGAGATAGTCCCAAGGAAAGTGCATTGCAATAAAATCCAATATAAAATCAAGCCGTATCTCACCATGGCAAGTCTGCCCTCATCAGGAACAGATGCAGGTAACAAAGCAGCTGACATTAACAAAGCTACTTCCTAAAATTCTATATGCAAGGCTAAATCCAGAAGCACCTAAAGACTACAAACTGATTTTTCAAGAAGACACTGTACCTTGAACTGGACTATATTCTGCCAAATCACTCTTTGTACCACAATTCTATTCAAGGATATTTTAGGGTCTGTGCAATTCTATCACCCACTTTTTCCTTAATTTGACTTTTCCAAACTCAAACCAGAAAGATAACCTGTCATGTTTAGCTATCACTCTCTCCTTCATCTCTTAACTTTTGTTTTATTTTCAGTACAACTTGTGATGACAGAATCAGGATATCTGTACAAATAGTTCAAATATGTACACCAGGTACAAGAGATTAGAAAATAATTAACTATTTGTTTACCACTAAATCTTCAGTGACAAAACTTAATAGAAATTTTTTGATGCAAGGTTTCATTTAAAAAGTTGCTAAAATATAAAGCTGGCATTTGTTTTCAAACTTAATTGTTCAGATTTATAACATTTTTCCATGTGGCATAATATTACTCAAAACTGTAAAAGTACATTTAATGTATCCAAACTGCAAACACAGCCTATTTACAATCATATAAGCATACGTCAGGATTACCTTTTCCAATGTGTCTCCGGGTGTTCTCAATTGTTGAGTTACGATTAACATTGGAGAGCAAGCCTAAGCAGAATCTGTTTTTGTTGTTAGAAGGATCTGTAAATCCATCCACTAAGATACTGGTAGAAGACGCATGAAAAGCCTCCCCAACACGATTGTTTAATTCATAATACACTATTGAACACCAATGTTTGGGTTCTTCATAGGCCACAGGATGAACATCTACAAACAAACATGAAAAACCTGTAATAATTCCAGCATCTACAGCTTAACTACAGTATTTAACATTTATGCATTTTTCTTATTGCTGAAGAACTTCAGTTATATTCCTGCAAAAATCTTACCAACGGATAGTACCATCAACAGCAGGCTATAGACTGTAAAAAAAACCCATGTTACTCCAAGATCCTGAATTCATTAGTGAGCTATAAATTCATTAATTGAAAGAACAACAGTAAATCTTCTTAAAGCATTTTAAGAGAACTTATACCTTTAGCTAATAAATTGTGTAAGAAATATTTTTTTCTAAAGATTTTCACTTACAAATACAAATAATAAATACAGAATTAATGTTACTTTGCACAGCTGGCATGTTTAATATACCGTATTTTCCGGCGTATAAGACGACCCCCGACTTCGGAGACGATTTGCATGCTTTAGAAAGTCGTCTTATACGCCGGTATGTTGAATCATTCAACAGAAGTTAGCTACTCTTTTGAAGAAGAAGCCTATAAAAAAGTTCCATCTCTATCAGAAAATAATTTTATGCTATTACTATTACAGCAAATGAAAGACATTTATTTTATCTTATCATTTTCCAAATTCCAACTATTCTCCTTGGCATAACCTTGAACCTTCTCTTATCAACAGTTTGCAACACAGAAATATATGCCCTAGAATGCAGTTTCAACTGCTTATATATGAGAATAGCGTATAACCCTCAAAAGTATCCCTTAACTTTCATTTAAATACACATTTAACTGCAACTTGCATTTTAAAACAAAATATCCTCAGGTCTGTATTTCCCTCACCCTTTTTGAACCCATGACTCAGATGAAAGGGTAAAATGCTGATCAGATGACATTATGCTCCTCTTTCTAGTTAACAAACTCTCTGTATCTCTAATGACCAAGTTCTTAAATGTTAACAATCTCATCCCATATAGACAAGACAGTGTGAGGTGCTGCACTTCAAAATTTAAATAAAAGGCATGGCAATAATTTATCTTCTTCCTTCAGATTGTAATTGGCAAATTATCAAAAAGTTTCAAAATATTAACAAGTTTATCTCACCTCTGCTTGAAATAGTGGGCATTATCTGAGGAATTATACTATTGCTTGTATCCATAGACTGTGAAGTATCTTGACCCATTTGGTCTTCAGGGGGCATATATGCAGGTGGTGGTGTATCAGCTACAAATGAAAAAAAAGAATGAATATTTGAGCAGTACTAGTAAATTTACCTTGAACTATCAGGTTTTTTTCCACTATAATCACTATTTGTCTTTTTTGTCATCTTCTGCCTCTTCCATTTTTGGAATCTAATAATTTTCTATCATGAAAATGTTCTCTTCATTCTCGATTGAGGTTTTTTTTCATTCTCTTCCTCTGCCAGTCATTTATGTCGCAATCCATCTTGCTTCATCTAGTTGAAGCTCCATTTCATTTTCCTGGAATTAGAAAGAAGCGCCACCAGATTCTCTGACTGATATATTAACCTGGAAGCGATTTCCTTGATATTAAGCTCCAACCCAAAGTGATTTTAGGATTAGCTATAAGATGTCCTAATTTTGAACTTATTTTACTGCATAGTTATTGCTATTATTTTCTGCTTTCGATTTATTCTCGGAACCTCTACAACCTTTTCTCCCTCTCCTTTATATCTCTTTGTTTCTATCTCCCAATCAATGTCTATTTAATCAACATGAGTACAAATATAGCATAACCTAAATGTAATTCTAATTTCCTCTGGTTTTATAATACAAGTTCTACTTTTCAATGTTTGCCATACAAGTAGTTCTTACCTGGTAGCTGATATGGGCTCGATGGTCCAGAACTAGCTGGAGAATTTGGATAGGTATTGCTGCCTGGAGATGGTGGGTATGGACTATTTGGAGACATGGGAAATGGAGTGCTGTTGGGCTGCTGGAATGAATCTGGAAAGGTAGCATTGTGTGGCATATGAGGTTCATTGTGAGTTAAGTTTCTAAACTGAACCAAAAGGCTATGCTGTGGGTTAAATTCACTGTGCCTTGGCACCAAGACAGGAGGTAAAACTGAAAAAGAAAAAGAGGACATATTAAAATAGTGTTGAAGATTTAGACAGATCATAATTAGCTCTTGAAGAGTAAAAGTGCAAAGAAACATATGCTGGAAACTTATTGTTTCTCCACTTGGAAGAGTTACTACTAGAATGTACAACTTGATGGCCAAGGCCATAAAATCATGCTAGGGCTTATTTCCCGGTTTGGTCTTATTTTCAGAGAAACACAGTAGTTTCAAATAGCATAAAGTTCAGGGAGGAAACAATCAAAAGCAGGATTCATATATCTCATTATGCCATTATGGGGTTATGTTTTGGTTTAAAGCAATGGCTGTTATCAGCATGGTTTGTAGATTATGGTTTACAGGATAGCTCTATCATCTATGGACCTGGCTATTAGGGATGCTCAACAAATTATGGTAAAAGCAAACCAAGGGTTGATGTAATGTGTGATTCTGGTCTACAAAGTACCAATGTTCCCAGATGCAATTCCCATGTACGAATTCCCTCCCATTTTCAATTTGCTGCTCCTCAACAAGTCAACTATTTTTTCATGGGTAAAGGCATTGAGACACACCTGGACTCTCCACCCTTTTGTAATGATATGGATTGATACAAACTTCTTTCTGTTTAGATCCAAAAGGAAATTCACAAATGTCCAATGGCTTCAGCTCATGATGGCTCTGCAAATCAGGCCAACGCCACACACGGCAGTAAATCACGTGGGGAAGGCCTTTGCGGTGTGATACTTGAAGTCGCCCATCTAACGAACGAGGAATTGTAACACATTTGCTGGGTTGTCCAGGACTACTTAGTGCCTTTTCCAGTTCCTCCATGGCTCCTTTTTTCTTCTTTAGCTTTTTTACTAAAGCATCAACTGCTTTTTCTGCCCATTTTTCTTCTTCATCACCTTGTTTCCAGCCCAACAAGCGTTTTACAGCTGGGCTAGTAAACGAGAACAGACTGGCCATTGAGGTCATTTGACAAGTTTTAAAGCAATTTTTAGAACAAAACTGCTGATTCTCAAACACAAAAATAACTCTGCAACTGCAGCAGTGCTTAAATTCTTTTTTAATCCAAGAAAGTGATTTTTCTTAGACCTATAAGAAAAATTACAGAACATCAGTTGATGCCAGTTAACCAGAGAAATGAAGGCAAACACAGAGAATAATTGGATAATTTTAAACCTCATTAAATTTAAATCAAACATGATGCATATTATTAACAGCCTTTTAATCTGAACCAATTTTCATGCCATGGGGATAATACTTAAAAGAGAAAACAGTTGGTGGCATTAACAAAGGAAGTCCTTTGAGCCAAACTCCTTCTATCATTCACAAAGCCTAATCATTTGGTTAAACAGAGGGAAAAGCTTGGATTTTTTTTTTGTAAAGATACATGAAAAGATGAAGTTTATTTTAACATGAACTGTTACTGAAATGAATGGTATATCTTAAGAGAAGATGTGCATCTATTAAGACATCAAAAGAAATACTCTGGTGATTTCTGAGCTGTCTAAACGATAGCAATTAGGCACTGAAAACACTCTGGTGATTAAAAACTGATAGCAATTAGGCACTCTGTACACAAGAGATTCTGTAATAAAGTTCCAGTGTTGAGAAGCCATTATAGGTTTCTGAGGTTTTATTCCTACTACTCCTTTCTGTTAACCCACCCTGAAGTTGGTGTTGTCATAAAAAGAGAATCTATGTCTTTTGAAGAGACAACAACTGTATGGATTTCATTTAAAGGAATAGAGCAGTGAATGATCAATGGTGCAAGCAGCAGTAGAAAAGCGAGCATTCTCTGGCAAAGGAACCAGGAACCAGTGAAGCCCCTTGTTAGGGAACATGGCTCAGACCCCAAGAGTGTCAATCTAGATTGCTGCAGGACAGGAATGAGTTACAAACAGCCCCTTTTTTTATTACTAACAAGGTCCATCTGCAACTCTCTTTAAAAAAATAAAAAGGAGTAAGGATGACAAACGGAACTAATGTGCTGTGGCAACATGTTGATAAGACCTCATAAAATCCCTGAAGAATACTCAACAAGTACAGACATAGACAATAGGCAGCTGGCAAAAAGCAGCACTAAACAAAGAGAAAGGATGTCAATAACAAGTCAGTTCCGTTTCTGCTACAGAAACTGCCAAATATTGTCTATGGGGTTTCTGATAAATTACAGCAAGTCAAAACAGCTAGCCCACCCCACTGCATTTTCAGTCCATCAAACATGAGGTATTAAAAGGGCAGGAAAGCTGCTTCCTTGCCTTGCTAATTCTCAAAAGATGGTGCTTCTTAATAACGTTGTAGGAAAATGTGCCTGGCAATCACAGCTACCTGTTTTTTCAGTTGCGCGAAGACGGCAGGCCGCAGGAGCAAAGACAGGCAACAGTTTTTTACCATCTGCATTCATCATCTCTCTGGAAGGGGTGAGGAAAGGCCGAACTAAACAAGAAAAAGCACATAGAGAACAATCCAACAGCAGCCATCACAGGCGTTTCTTCACTTCTCTTGCTAGGAAACTATCAAGATGCCACAGGTGCTGACTTGGTACACTCTACATTATCATAATAGGGTTAAGCTGACAAAGCGCATTTCCTCATTCAGAAGTTTAGTTCTGTATGTGCTGCCCAAGAGGCAATAAAGGGCTGTTCTCCTCCGAAAGGCAGGTTAATCCGTGTCCGAAACGTACAAGAGTACAAATAATTACCTGCCTGAAGTTCCCTGCTTAACGGCAAATCAGATAGAAGGGGAGGCTGAGCTCGTTTGTATTTTGGAATAAGAACCCCACTGAGCCGCCAAAAGACCCTACCCCATCGGCCAGAAAAGGCAGGTTGCGTGGCCTTGCAAGGCTAATGCTTTAAAAGTACCTTCTGCAATATCGATCCATGTCACATTGCCCGCAAGCGTGGCCCAGGCCCAAACCAGGACACCTCGGGCTCCAGTCCTGGCGGCCAGTCTGGCCCGCCGCAAAGTTTCGTGGCGGGGGGGGGAGTTTTGCTACGAAGAGCCCCCCACCCTGGCTTGCGAAGCGAGGAAGCGCCTCGCGCGATGCGGACGCTCGCTCTACCCCCAGCGGCGCTGGCTTGCAAAAGGCGGGCCGGGCGGAGAACGATTCCCGCCGCCACTTCCTCACCCAGTAAGCCACGAAGGGCGCCCTCCTCCTCCTCCTTTGCCCCCCCTCCCCCCGGCTTTTCCAACCGGTTTACCTACCGCCTGACGCGCGGCTGGCGGCCGAAGAGGGAAGCGGCAACCCCGGCCAGGGGACCTACAGAGCCGCCGAGGAGGGAGAAAGGGGCGGAGTCAGGCATGCCAGTCGACCCGAGGGCTCACGTGACAGGCCATAAGGCGAAACGCGGCTGGTTGAGCCTGGGCGTCACTCAAGCGCCCGAAGCCTGTGATTTGCAGAAGGAAGGAAAGTAGGAGGGAGCGTGCGCTCGGGCTCTGGGGGATGGGAGGGGGAGAGGAGGAGTGCAGGCCTGGTCTATCGGTTGCTCTTATGCAGCGTCTTGCGTTCGCTACGTAACTTGCGTTTTGTTCCTAGCCTTTGGCCTGGCTAATCGGCTACCCGGCTTCCTCCAGTGATTTCATTGCGGCTTAGCGGCTCAAGATGTTTCTCGGGTTCAGATACTTCTACTCCCTAAGGGAGAGACTTGCCAACGAAGTTAGGAGGTATAAAAATTTGCACGATGTAAGCAAGGGATTAAAAACTCGGACGTAAATGCAATTTCAGGGAGAGAAATTAGAAGAGCTTCGGAGGAAGACCCAGACAGCTGCAAAGAAAAGTGGAAGCAACTGGGAGACAAGTTTGTCAAGCTTAAAAATAAAAAATGAAATCAAAGAGCAGGAACCCTGGGCCCAGAGGATAGACAATTTCTGCCCAATATGTATGTAATGCTGTCCTGGCTGGAAGGATTTATAAAACATCGGGGAACCCAGACCAATTTCAACTTGTGCTGCACCTAAGGTAGGAAAACAATACCCCAGACCATTATTATATATGTAAAAAACTGGGTACATAGTCTTTTGACCCACAACATACTCCTTCCACACATGGAGCTTTGGAATCAACAATAATCACTTCTGTTCTGACCCAGATATGCATAGGTAAACAGCACCATATTATCTATTTTTTCTTAATCTAGTGTGAACTTCATGCTAGTTTCATTGGTGTGTTGAAAGGCTATGCATGTAATCATATATCTGTTCAGACAATCATTTATACAAATTATATCATTGCAGTTTGAGGATGTCATTCCAGATCCTGTAGAGCAAAACTTGAATACAGGGGTAATCTCATCCACACCACACCTCCTGTCCAGGGACTTAAGTGTCTTCTCACTGCATAGCAGTAATTGTGATGATGAAGCATCAGCCAGTGCATCCATAGTGTCATCAATAAAGGCATTAGTCCAGTGATGGCTAACCTTTTAGAGACCAAGTGCCCAAACTGCAACCCAAAACCTACTTATTTATTGCAAAGTGCCAGGGCTGCATCAGCATTGTGGTGCCCTCGGGTGGGTGGGGGATAGGCGTAGCCCACTGGGTGGGCGTAGCTGCAGTGGTCATGGCAGACTGGGTGAGCATGGCTGGGGCCAGGGCAGCGGGGGTCAATCCCTTGCCATCTCCGGGGCATCCCCGGGGGGCCAACGCCACTTGCTCACTCACTTCCTGCCCTGTCGCTTCCAAACACCACATGCTACTCTTCCAAACGCCACATGCTACTCTGGCGAACTCTACTGGGGTAACGGCGCACGTGCCCACAGAGGGGGCTCTGAGTGCCTCCTCTGGCATGCGTTCCATAGGTTCCCCACCACTGCACTAGTTCCTCAGTCAAGAAAGATGAGGAAGAAGATGGGAGGGACGAGATACTGGACAGCATTGCCACCCTACGCTGGCAGCAGCTTCAAATCTATACTACAGTGATGTCCAAGTGAGCATCATCAATAGCAGGACGTATATTGACAAATGTATAACTTTTGCACTGGATGTTGCAGACTCTTTGCAGAAATTTCCGCCAGAATGTCTGTAAGCCACAAAATCCAGAATCTTCACTGCACTTACAGATGCAATAGTTTTGACAATTCAAAAATGTTGCATTGACAATTCAAAACTCTCACATTTACTGTTGAGAAATATATTTTGTATAAAAGTTTTTGAATTCAATTTTCACTCAGTTTTTCTGACAGTTTCAAATTATTCTGCTTTACATATACCATATATTATAATAGAACCAAATGAAGGCCAAAATAAACTACTTTTGCCTGCCTGTGATAGAGTATTTGTGAAGTTCTCTGCTATAAAAGGAATGTAAATAATTAGAATTATGTTTTATTATTACTTGTTACAACTGTTGCTTAAATTACCTGATAGGTCTTTTTTTTAACAAAACCACAAGTCAGGCTAATACTTTTACGTGTAATAAAACATACAGCAAAGCTTGGTTGATATTCAAGATAACACACTGACCAAGTTTCTTCTGTACAGAACTTATTGATGACATTTATGTTGTCTGGGTGTGTAGTTTAAGCCGGGTCAGTTCTTTGCTACATTTACACTTTTCAGTTGGCAGCACCTCAACAATGCATCCTAGCCAGGGCATCTTTTCTGCTGGAGTCTGGAAAAACTCCATCAGGTTCCTGCAGACTCCTGCAACAGCACATGATGTTCTGGTGTTTGACAATGTCCAGAAGTTACAAGCCAGTTGTCATTTGCTACCTGCTTTCTCCATTCTCCCTCCTATATCCTACCTGACATTGAAACTGTATCTACAAAGTTTGGTAGCACATATCTTGCTGTTGGTGTGGTTGATGGTATCAGTACTAATGAGGTAATTGTGAAGAGCAACACATAACCTTGACCCCTCAATGACTTTGGGTGAAACTCCATGGGCTGCCAAATCTGCCACCTTGCAGCCAGAATTCCAAACTGTTTTCTATGATCCGTCTTGCTCTTGGGTGATGGTAGTTACATAAGCAAATCTGCCCCTCAAGATTAGAATCTGCAGAAGAGAAACAATTGCAGTAGTAGGAATAATAGGATAGACTTTGGCAGCTAATGATTTGGATGCATCATTACAATGAGAGAGAAAAAATCAGTAAAATGTTTTTATTTAAGCTAGTTCAATTTTAGAAAATTGCCGTATTTTTTCCATCTATAAGACGCCCCTTGTATAAGATGCTCTGGCATGTGTTTCTCCGTGCTGATCAGCTCTTCAGCGGAGCACCGAACAGGTAAGCCAGCAAATCCAGAAGTTCGGCCGGCCGACAATCTTGCCCCCTCCCCCCTCCCGGTAGTGGCAAGCGCACAGGGGCTTCACACCTGCACCAGGTGGGCATGGCAACCCACACAGGCATGCCCTGGGCTGTGGAGGTTATCATTATTTTTCCATGTATAAGACGGAACTTGTATAAGACGCAGCTTGTATAAGATACATCTGATTTTTGAACAGGGTGTTTGCAGGAAAAAATAGCGTCTTATATACAGAAAAATATAGTATTTAACAAAAGAAGCCCTAGTAAATACATTGTGACGTAAGGAATGATGATGGAGAAGTAAACTCTCTTCCATACTACCATTGCCATATAGAAACAGTTCTCCATTTACAACCATTTATTTAGCAAACATTCAAAGTTACAATGGTCCTAAAAAAAAGTTAGATACAACCAATCCTCAACTTACAATTGTTGCAGCATCCCCACAATCATGTGATCAAAATTTGGGTACATGTATTACATGTATTTATGATGTATTAATGATGGTTGTAGCATCCCAGGGTCATATCATTGCTCTATATGACCTTCCCAACGAGCTTCTGACAAGCAAAGTCAATGGGGGAAACTGGATTCACTGAAAGACTGCATGATTCACTTAATAACTGCAGTAATTTGCTTAACAACTGTGGCAGAAAAGGACATAAAATCTGGCACAACTCACTTAAGAACCATCTTGCTTAGCCATGGCGGGGTCTAGGAAAAGAGCCATCTCTGCCATTGCCCCTGCCCTGTGGTACAGTTTACGCCTCAGAAGTGAGGCATTCCACCCCCCCTGCTAGCCTTCTGAAAAGGAATTAAAACAGGGCTCTGCGGCCTTGCTTGGGGAGTGCAGAGGAACACACAACCTTGGGGCTGACTGATATCCTGAGAAGCCTCCCTTCAACTTTTAACTAATTCTAACAGCATTAAATTATCCTTGCTTCCTTGTAAATTTTTAATTTTAAAATATTAACTTTTTATATACTCTTTTATATTTTAATGTTTTATAGTACAACCACTAAGAGTCCCTCTTTGAGGGAGATGGGCAGTTTAAAAATGTGAAAAATCCCATCTGCATGCCCCTTGAAACTGGCCAGTCTGTGCTAGTTCCATTCTTTGAGCCAAAAACCAGTAACGTGCTATAAAGACTGCAGGGTTATGACTCATAGATCAGCGGTTCTCAACCTATGGGTCGCGACCCCATTTGGGGTCGAATGACCATTTTACGGGGATCGCCAAACAACGCGATCCGCCATTTTTCCCCCTCGGGGCGGCGCCATGCATGCATGCCGCGCATGGGGGCAGCGCCGCACATGGGGGTGTGCGTGCATGCGCAGCGCGTCCGCGTGACCAGGGGTCGCCATATAAAAAGGTTGAGAACCACTGTCATAGATAGATTGGGCTGAATTTTTTTTTTAAAAAAAGCAGGACTCTGGCCAAAAGTACCATCAAATTTCTCAAGTACACTATTGAGGCAGGACATTTAAGACATGGTATCGTAGCATATATTGCCAGTTGGGCTAGCTGATCCTTCTGTTGTTCAATTTCAGCTAGCAACTACTCCCTACTGATGTAAGGTGGGATTTCTTTCATGGTGGTTGGCAGACAATTTGGTCTGATGCCAGCAATTAAGGTTAGACTTAGATAAAATATCTTGGTCCTTACAACAATGCAAGCATGTGGGTGTTCAGAGAAAACAAATGAGCTTATTTCAAAAGGTAAAGTTCTTTGTAGACAAAGCCAAGAATTGTGGTTGAGAGTCATTTTACCAATTCAGGGGTCATCCAGGTATGAAAATCCCCCCCCTAGATTCAGGTAGATGCAAGGTTGAAAAGTTGTTTGCTATCAGAAGTCTGGCATGCAAGACCTTTTAGAGCACTGGTTCAGGCATGCCT